AATCACCTCTCTTGCTTCCACCAAACTTATACAGCAAGGTATACAAAGGAAAATCTGTAAAAAATTTAAGAAGTTTGAAGTTTGATGAATATCTATCAATTACAAGAGTATATATTTTCTTTCAAGTGTACAATTTCATATGGTATATAAGTTCTCAACATGCTATGTTAATACTGAAAATTTCTGGACTGTTATGGAAAAAGTATGAAGAAAGTTTTGTTTAAAAGTTTTAAGACAATGCACTTGTATTTGAAAAAGAGATGAAGAATATGTTTGAATTGATTTGAAAGAGGTAAGTTTTTAAAATCTGAAACAAATGGTATTTATATGAGTATCATACCATTTTGAAATAGTGAAAATTAATCAAACTATGAAATGATTGATGGCGTGAAAAAAATCATGTTTGAATCTGAAGTTTAGTGAAAAAGTGTCATTGCTTCAGTGGTAACTGGTTACCAGAAAGGGTGTAACTGGTTACACCTGAAGCGGTATAAAAAAAATTCAAAATTTTGAGTATGTAACTGGTTTCCAAAAATTATGTAATTGCTTACCACCTTCAAAAATACCACAAAATTTAAAACATAGTTCATGTCAGGTTCATTTAAACGGTTACCAGTATTGATGTAATCGGTTACCACTCTACAAAAGAGAAAAATACTTTTGATATTTTTTTGAAACTAGTGGCAACAAGTTTTTATGATGGTAATGCATATGTATGAAAATATTAAGTAAGTTTAGAGCATATAATGTATATCAATAATTGGATTGTAACTTGTACCAATTAATTTTGAAGATCAATTAACAAAGGCTAATCTTCATGAAGTTGATTATTTATCAAGTCTTGATCCATAGCCCTTGTATCTTTTTCTCATCCTTTCTTGATACAAATGCATAATAGTTGTCTTCATAAAAACTTAGAATTTAAAGAGGCTTAACTTCATAGAATTATAGGCAAGGGACTCATTAAAGTGTCTCGCCTTAAGTTCTTTTTGGAACACCCTCGCAAACATCTTTTGGTTTGGTGGGAAGACCCTGATGGGGGCTTTAATAAATCGGGTGAGATAGTCCCTGGGTGACTCTTATGAACCATGGCGTGTGTTAAATAGGATGGTTATAGATATCTTCTTGTGGCCGCTGGCGAAGAACTATTGTATAGCCTTTTTACCAGTTACTAATAGTTGTTGATGGAGCCACGAGGTAAATCCATATACCATTAAAGTGTGGCGTCCCTGAAAGTGCCAGATAGTAACTTGCACTTTAGGTAGTCGGGCACTCCTATAATGGCCATTTGTGTATTGATGGAGGCGATGTGCTTGTAGGGATCACTCCATCCATCAAACTTGGCCAAGGAGAGAGCTTTGAAACTTTCTATGACAAGCGCCCCCTATATCTCATCTAAGAAGGGATGAAGGTCCAAAATTCTATCTCCTCTCAAGGATTGGACTTCTGTTAGCACTGTTAGATGTTATGGATGTCATCCTCTAGTGTTTGGTTATGGCGGCATAAATTATTCATGGCGGCATGCATATCCTCTAGAGAGTCAGAATCATTTCTACCACTGGTACCTTCTAATGTATGGGATGGAGCTCACCTGCTAAACATGGCTAAATGTGGCTATGTAAGAGTGAATGGTAACAACATGAAGGGTGATGGTGATGAAGACGGTGTGGCCTATGTTAGTTTTACCGGGGCCCCGCGGTGGACGCAACTGTACTGGTCAAAAGATATAAGTGTGCATGTTTCTCTTATAAATGGAGGGGGTTTCAGAGGCCTTGTAGGTATGATATGATGTATGGTGGTATTTTATGGTGGTTTTAGGAGTCCTGCTCATGTGCGGTTAGAGGCTCCTTAGATGGTTGATGTGCTTAGGTATAAGCATATGAAGGATGTGATCAGCATGAATTCTGATATGTCCTCCCTCTCATGGGGGGGGGGGGGGGGGGGGGGTATTTGTAAAGGCATTTTGGGACTGGATTTTGGGTATCCCTGAGTGGCGACAACTTCACCCTCCTTGCCAGAAGAAATTATTGACCACCTATCCTTTAGGTAATAGTGGATGATTCCCTCTCCTTTGACTAACGGAATCACACGTCGTTAGTGCTAAGGGTGATTCCTTAATTCGTCGCCTAGGCTGTACAACCCTTGGGCGAGGACGCCCTAGTTTAGGACCCTCACAAATATAACACTAAGACTATAAATACAAAGCTTCTCTGTCACTTTTACACATCCAGAAAATGTGAAAACCTTACTTTTTATTTCTCTCATAACCTATCTAAATCTTTCATACTTTTATCACATATGTTAGCCAAAGTGCTTTGATAGTGTTCTTGAGTCTAGTGAGGAACATTGTTCTAGGTAAGGGGAAAATTGTAAATTTACCAAGATTGGAATTTTCTCTTGAGTAAATAATTCTTTCTTATGAAGTTAGTATTTTGGTTGGGAGTTAAACCATTAAAAAAGATCTTATTTATATTTGGGGGATTTGTCTAAGTCTTTGATTGGTTTGTGAACTCCACCATTGAAAAATCTCTCTTTTGGTTTGTGCAGATCTTTTAGTAAAAATCTCCACAATAATTCTTGAGCTCAACACGATTAAAAGCTCTATTGGTTCGATATTTACCTGATTTAAAATTTCACTTAGTTTTTGAGTTCAACCAGGTATAAAAAATCAATAGGTTCGAGATCATCTCAGTATAAATCTCGATTCGATTCGTGGTTGGCCTATATAAAACCCTAGTTCAGTTTTGAGTATAGCCAACTCAAAACTATGTCTTGGTTCGAGATCAGTCTGTCCAAATCTTTGTTTGGTGTGAAGACTAACTGCTTCAATCTGTGTCTATTATTTAGTTAGAAGTTAGTCTGAAACTTCATTTTATTGTATAAGGGGGTGCATGAGTATAACCTTCTAAAAGATTTCAAGCATAATAGATACTCTCAAAAAAATTCTATGGGACATGATTAGGTCTTCTTGGTCAAACCTATATAATTTTTCCAGTGTTATTTATCTTCCCTTATATCTTTATTTTCAAGTTATTTACTTTGAATTTCTGCTGCATTTTCAATATTTTTTATAAAATGGTTTTAAAACTCCTATTTATCAGATGATTTAGTTTTAAATCAATATTTTTTAAACCTCCACAATTCACACCATCCCCTCTTATGTGTGAAGTCACATATCTAACAACGAACACGATTTTACTTTTAAGTAATAAAACCTTTAAATTAATCATGAATCTTGAATATTACAATTCACCCCCCCCCCCCCCCCCCCCCCCATCTTGTGCTTGGAGTCAATTATCCAACACTTTACTCGCCCTGATTTGTTCCTTGATCCTTGAACTGTCTGAAGATGGGAAATACTCCAACTTTATATGTAGGCTTCTACACAACTCAACCAAAGTAATCATGGAGAGAAGAATCTCTTTCATTTTTTACTAGATTTATCGATCTCAATAACAACCACACACATAGATACCAACCCTTGAAAAACTCAATAAATCTTCACAAAACATTAATCACAAAACGATCATTCTCACATATCTCATACCCTAAGATGAGAGTTTAATCTAAACAACAATGGATACTTCAAGATGTTGAAGATGAAGAGATTTTTGTTGCAAAACTCAAAACAAGATTCAAAATCCTATTTGAAAGTTGAGAGAAAATATGTGTTGTGAGCTATAAATTATAAAGTGAAAATCTATGTTATGAACAATGTAAAATGGATTTGAGAAAAAGATTTATGTATGTACTGGAGATCTAGTAGAAAAATGAGAGAAAAATGTCATTTGATTCGAGTCACAAGCATGAGTCGAGTCAAGAGAGTGAATGATTTGAATCAAGATATACGAACCAAGAAAAACTGCTCATATAATTCATATTAATTTTTTTTATGATTCAAATCATGTGATTCGATTCAATAACATCTCTTATTCGAATCAGACTCACAAAACCAAAATCTAAAATTTATTGTCTGAATTTTATTCGAGTCAAACAAGTTCATGATTCGAATCACATATGTGATTCAAATCAAACATTTGTGATTCGAGCCAAACATTATTGTGATTCGAATCAGTGATATAAGAACAAATCTTTTTTTAGAAATATGTTTAATTTGAGTCAAGCAATTCGTGTGAATCAAATCAGGTTGACATAAGCAAAATCCTAGTTATTGCACAAACTTTGATTCGAGTCATGACATCATGTGATTTGAATCACTTCAAAATTTTTAATTTTTTTATCAAAATGAAGTGTTATTTTGAATCAAAATTTGGCAATGACTTAAACCATTCTCAAATATGATTTTTGATTCAAAACTTCGACTATATGACTAAAAGCATAATGCTAAAACTATAATCAAACAAGTTAACTTATGCATGCATAAAATGAATTAAAAATTCACCCCTAAGATGCACAACTATGTGAGAAACTTAATTAGAATAAAATAAATCAAAAACTAAATTGACAAACAATGAAACATAAATGAGTTAACCATAAGAGACTAAGACAAATTGAATTGGAATCAATGTAGTAAAAGAGCTACCAATGTAAAACCAACTGACATTTAGAACATTAGTTATCTTCTCACTATTATTTTAAATTTTTATCTACATTCATATATAATTCTATAATTATAATTTATTATAAATAATAAATAAATAATATATTTAATTTATTTTAAAGCAATGTCAACTCAAGAAAATTGTTGAAACTTTTTGTTCTAAAATATCTCAACAAAAATAAAGTAAACTGACTTTATTATAAATTTAAAAGTTCATTTTATCTCCTTTATTACATACTAATAGTTTATTTGAGAATTATTTATTAATAGATAAAAAATTGAAATCAGATTAAAAAAAAAAAGAATTTTAATATAATAAAGACTTTGAATACCAAAATTAAATGTTAACAACATAAAAAACCATGATACAACTGCAAATGCAATTTAAAACTTTACTAATAGTCTAATCTAGGGTTGGATAAATTTGTTAGACTTAGGCTTACATGAGAAAGGCTATGGTAGCAATGAAAGAAATCAAAGAGAAAAACACAGAACCAGTAGATTTGATGGACCCAACCTTGGAGATCACCTTGTCTTCTGCAAAATTATGATAATCACAAGTGGAAGAAAAATGAAAAATGAAAATAAAAAATAAGAATTTTTATGTACATGAAGGATCAAGGAGCTTACTGCATTCTTTTGGATGACACAAACAGTTCAAGCCAGCATTACAGCTACCATTAGGCTCTTGACACCCTTTGCAAATCTGTGGTACATGATTGGGAATGTTAACAGTTATCCTTAAGAGAGAAGGGATTGAAATATTTGAAGTAGAGAAAGGTGGTTGAGTTTTGATATTGGTGTGATTATGATGAGGGGTAGAAGAACCTAGTATGACATTGAATAGGAATAAGAATTGAAGATGCATTTTCTTTAGTGGTTTCATGTTCTTCTTTTTTCTCTAATATCAAAGAAAAAATGTTTGCTCAATTGTTTTAATATTATAGTGTTTCTTTTCTTGGTCAAAGCCTTCTTTAAAAATTAAATCAAATCATTCTGGTCGGTTGAACGGGTTGAATCAGACACTGGTTGGTTTGATGATTGGTTTGATTTTAATATAAAAATCAAATCAACTTAATCGATTGAACAAGTTGAATTAGGAACTAGTTAGTTGGTTGATATAATCTTAATGTAAAAATCAAATCAATCTAATTGGTTGAACAGGTTGAATTAAGAATCAAATGATTCGTTAGTTGGTCTGATTGGATCAGATTGAACTTTAATTCAATTACAATTGGTTCAATCGTTTTTATTTTTTTATTCATTTATTTATAATTTGGTTCAACTATAGTTGAACCGATTGAACTAAATGATAAATCGGAGTTCTCGCTGGTTCGATCTCTGAACCAACTTTTCAGACTTTGTTCAAAGACATAGAGAAACACTACAATTAAATTAGGTCCCATGACTAGATTAATGTGTTTCCTTTTTTCCACTTTTTTCATGTCACTAGAAAAAGGCCACACTACTTTGAGTCTGAGGTATCTTGATGAAGAACTTTTGAGGCCATCTTTCATAAAGTATTTTAACTTATTCCCAATTTGTCATCAAGTTTTGCATGATTTAATGTATTTTTACAATTGATAATCATTTACTGCATTCCTAAAGTTGCTTTTGTGTTTAGGCTTTATTAGACAAAGCAAATGATGTTAATCATGCGCAGCTAATGAAGATCCTTGTCAACAGTTCTGCACTTTAAATTTGAATTGTAAATATACTTACTATCCTTGAGATAATCAATGTGTTGTTTGTGAATTTCTTATAATATTTTGGATATTATTGGAGGCTTATTAACATTGTGGAAGAAATTGGGATAAAATAAGACACTCTTAAGTTAAACTTAATTGAACAATTATGCCATGAGTCTTTATCATATAAACGCCTATGATTGTATATAGAATTTTAGAACGAAATATAATAAAATCAAATTATTTTTATATAAGTTTTAAAAAGAATTCATCAATTATCTAGTAAATCTTATAGAAATAAGTTAAAATAAACTTATGGATATGTTCTAGTCCAATTAGTAGGTCTGGTTAGTTGAATTATGGTCTAATATAAAATTTTCTAAAATTTTAATGTATGAAGAATTTATGGACTATGAGATAGTCACTAAATACGACATCATCACCGTGACTTCAAACTTAAGACGTCATCTTTTTAGCTATAATCTATAAGAAGGTTATAGGACTGTGAGACCTATAATAGATTTACCTTAGAGTGACAATTGATCATAGAAAATCATTGAAGGATGATCATCATAGCTTGTCATAAATAGCATGTGTTTGGTTTGAAGTTTGGAATAAAAAAAGCACGGATGGGGAGCATTTTGCCGTGATTTTATCACATTTTCATGAAGCTAGAAATTCCAGCTTTTGTTGGACGCACGTTTTTTGTGGTTTCCATCGTGAATCCAAAAAGACTAATAATCTTCTAACATTTGACTTCCACTTTGGACAACAACCCAATATAAAAGGTTTCACGTCTCTAAAACCCTATAATCTTATAATAAATGGTCAATCAAACTTTCACATCTAGACACACATTTTCTAACACTAAAATACCTCTTGCCTTTGATAGTTACTTGTTTGAGCGTTAACGTGTTTGCATGTACCATTCTACCACCCCCTGACACAGACTAGAACACCAAAACACCATTTGCGTACCAGAGTTCACTATCACACTTGTGAGCATATTTGCTCTTTGAAAGATCTTTTAGGTCATTTGTGAGAATTGTTCGTCAATGTTTCGACCACATCAATAACCGGTATCAATGTGGTGGACAGAGGAAAGTGAATTGTGTCGGTGTATAGCATGCCTCGTGGAAAGTGAGATCACTTGAGTTAATAATGGTTCAAAAATCTGGCTTGCAGCTTCCTCTTCGCACCGGAAAGCTTTGGTCCTACCACTATCGGCAATCACAATATTTGTGTTTTCTCCTTACACATTGGAATTACTCGACCTTCTATAGTTCTTGTGACAAACAAAAATGTCATATTAATGCCTCCAAACCAATAAGAAAACAATGTCACACCACACACGCCACCCCCCTTCGGCCCTAGTAGCCAAAATATGTATTATTAAGGGGTTTGTTGATGTTTGTCATTTGAGTGCACTTTTCCATTAGATATTTTGTATGATTTCAAAACTAGGATAACTTTATCATTTTTGTATATTGGACGGTATCTCTGAGTCTTTATGTGCATTTTTTCATTAGGGAACTTAGTATTCATTTAGAGCATGTGTTGACACATGTGTATCAATATTAAAACTTATAGACTCTGTTTCTATGTGTCGACACATACTGGAAAAATTGCATCTATGTGTCAACACATACGACTTTCAGGTCGACACATGTGCTTCATTTTTAAAGTTTGTAGCTTATGTTTCTTTGTGTCGACGCATGAACTTGAACAGGTCGACGCATGTCATTACATGTGTCGATACATGACTTATATGTGTCGACACATACTGTTTCCCTTTTTGCCTCTAACTTGCACACATATAAATACTTCATATGTGCACCATTTTCAATTTGATGAAACTATAAACACATATAAATATTTCTCACCCTCTTTAACCTCTCATATATGCATACACACAAACAAACTACACATAATTATTTTTTGTTTGGGTATCATCTCGACTTGTATTGATAACTTCCAGTTTAGGTTGGTCTAACTCGTGTATTGGGTTGAGAATATTCGGGGGTTACATCCGGAAAAACCTTATGGTTTATCCTCTAAGATCATAATGTTGATTTGGGGGTTTGTACAAGATTTCGTAAATATTGGATTCCATCGAGTGAAAGCTTCGAAAAACGATGGGTTTTGTCAAAGGAGTAGCGTGAGACGATGAATCATTTGGAAATCTCGGGATACCGTAATACGCAATTGGACTCGATCGAGTGAAAACTTTGTAGAATGGGGGTTCTTGAAAAGTAGTAGTGTGCGCTGGTGAATCAATTGGTGTTAACGGGGTACTTGGTCAATCTCAAGATCAAGGGAATATAAAGGGTTAGAATCAACATCAAACACTGGGTTTGTAGGGTTGCACTGCTAGATTTCTCTTGTAAACAATATTTTTCAAAGTAAGAATTTGATATCTCAATTCCAAACAGAACTGGGGGAAGACATAGCCATAGCGAGGACGACTGGTGAACTTGATGACACTAAAATGCAATATATATTTGACTCGATTTATGCATGTTTATTTTTTTTTGTTTTACATTTCCACTATTATGTTGATATTTTGACTATGTTTCAGATAAGTGACCATTTGGGAGTCGTACACGGAGAACTGAAGCAAAATAAACGAAAAACTAGGGATGGCAACGGGGCGGGTCGGGGGCGGGTTTAGCTAACCCCGCACCCGCACCCGCAACTCCAGTAATAGACCCGCCCCCGCCCCCAAACCCGCCGGGGGATGGAAATTCACCCCCAGACCCGCCCCCAATGGAGAACAGGTCACCCGCACCCGCACCCGCCCCCACCCGCGAAAACTGTTTTTTTTAAATAAAAAAATATCTATTTTTTTCACAAATTTCCTGGACAGCATTAACAAATACATTAAAAATACAAAATTCGCCATTGATTTGAGTAAATAATTGTAGGATTTAATATTCAAACACCATTCCAAATATTTTTCTATCATAACCCTTCAATCAACTATAATTGGTTGTGAACTTGTGATTCATTAAAAGAGTGTAATCTTTCAATATATCAAAGTATAAATCACTCCCAACAACCAACAATTTTTTTGCAAAGTACAAATACAAAATTTAAACAATACAATCAACAAAAGAACCATTCCAACAACATGGAACAAAATAACCATTCCAACAACATGGAACAAAATATACGATATCATCATAACAAAAAAAGATCCAAATAAACAACAAATTTTCTAATAATCTTCATCTTCGAGGCGGGAGTTGGAAATAGAAGTAGCACCATCAATCAACAACTCACCTGTGTTAAAAAATAAAATTTAAAATATAAAAATTTAACTTGACAAATTTAATACAAATAGTATGAATAATACCTTCATCATCAGACTCCATTTCAGTTAGTAAAATAGCATTTTCATTTCCCACGTTAGATTTCAAATTACCTATCAATATAGTGAAATATAGTCAATGATAGTAATTGGATTATTCGGGGCGGGGCGGGTGCGGGTGCGGGCGGGTCTCAGTGTCTTACCGCCCCCGCCCCCGCCCCCGTAGTTAGAAACCGGGTTTTACCCGCCCCCGCACCCGTACCCGTTTTAGCCGGGTTTCCCCCGTTAATTTCGGGGCGGGGCCCAGCGGGTCTGGGTTTTTTTGCCATGCCTATGAAAAACAGAAGAAATGAAATAGTTTGCACTCAAGGCGACCACCATGGCCTTCATCTTAAAGCTGGCCATGAGTGGTCCACGTTTTAACGGACAAAATACCAAGTCCTTTCCACTTAAGGAGCATGGCGTTCGCCATGGAGGGTGTGGTAGTCGCCACACGTATAGGAGACCAAGCAGTTGGAAAATGGGCTTTCTTGGTCAAGAACTCACTACATTCTCTCCTAAATTTTCTCCATGCATTTTAAAGCCTCCTTTGTGATTTTATGGTTTTTGGAATCCTATAAATACCACCATTTTACCATTTTGAAAATCATCCAAGCTTAGTTACAAACTTTTGTCGACTTTGTAAGAGATTAACTCTTCACATCGGATAGTTATTATACCGTTGATCAAGTCTGTAATCGAGTTTGGAGCAACCTTTATTTGAAGCATTAATTTTTCCGTCATTTACTTTCCGCATTCAATTTTCAGCAATTTACTTCATGTACCAAATTAAAGTCTCTTCGGAGTAGGTTTTTATTTAATCACATTTACATTTATTTTATCATCTTT